CCAGTGGGGGCACAGGCTCTGGACCCCAACCTGTGCAGGAGCCCCCACCTGCACTCGAGCCATGCTCATTTCATCTTGCTTCTCCCATGGGAGAATCAGAGCCCACAGGAGGCTGCTGCCACTCAGCAGGGCCCTGCTTCCTTGCTCCAACCTGGACCACTGCTCCAAGGTGTCTCCTCTTCCTCCACAATCTTGGGCTCTCCAAAGAGCAGGGGGCAGAAGCAGGGTGTGAGGGGCAGCTTCGGGACACAAGACTTCATAGGCTGGTGGAAAGAGTCAGCAGGGGGAGAACAAAAATCCCTCCTGGCAAGCAGCACAGCTGTGTCCTGGAGAGCCAGGTGGTTTAAGCAGGAACAAACTATTAAATAGGCAATCAAAATCCTGCCTCTGTGGGCTGCATACCAGGTGAGTCACACAAGCAGGCACTGCATCCTCCAGCACGAGTCCAGCAGCAGCACAGACCCACAGCCATGGACCATCACATCAACTCCAGCAACATCACTGAGCTCCTCTCCACTAATCAAATCAGGGTTTGCTGGTGCCGTTTCTCTTGTCTCCTCAGTGCCTAATAATGCAGAGTTGGCTGTGACCAGAAAAACCGACGGAAAGCTTCCCAGCCTTTCTCAGGCCACTTCTGCTCTGTCCTTCACACCGTCCCTGCTACAGCCTGCACCTCAGCAGCCCCGCAGAGGCACTGGTGGGTGAGCTGGGGCAGGTACTGCAGCGTGGCTGGAAAGCAGCCCTGACTTCAGATGCTTTCGTGGACAAGCCTTCGGTTGAGGGGGTTCAGAGACCCTTGCAGAGGAGGAGGCAGGTGCTGGCACAAGGAAGCTGCGTTGAGGTCTCGGCGATGCTGGTCCAGGCTTGAGCAGAGGTGGCGAGTGCAGGATCTCCCATCCCAGGAGCCACAGGGTGCTGGGTCCCCGCTGAGTCTCAGGACACAGGACCTTGCCATGAGGAGCTGGGCAGCACACCACGTTGGAGTGGCAACTGCCCTATCCCACAGACTTCCAATCCCAGAGCCTGCATCCCTAGCAGCACACGCAGCCTTGGCTGCCATCTCAAGACAGGTGCTTGTGCCACTCAGGGAAGGTGAGAGCAGGTGGGTGCCCATCCACAGAGAGGGTAGACATGAGCATAACCCTGCTGGGGCCACGGGGACCAGGATCCTGCTTCCATGTGTGACCACCAGTGCTGCTGCCAGGAAGGCAAGGGCAGGGTGAGCAGGGACCCTTGTCCCCAGCACCGCATCACACCCACAGGAGAGGCAGCCAGATGCCCCGTGCCAAGGCTGTGACGAGGGCCTTGTAACAAGGCTTGTCCAGAACAGTGTCCCTGGCACCCTTTGGTGACACTAGCATCTGCCTGTCCCCAGGAAGGATGGCTGTGGAGGAGCAGGCAGGGAGAGGGGAGGGAGCTGCTCGGCAGGCTCACGCCTCTGACATGTGCTGCGCATGGCTCCGCCAGACCGCAGGGTCTGGCTCACCCAACGTGTGGAAGCAACACTTCTCTGTGTCTCACTTTACAAAGCCCCAAACAATAACTGTCTGTCGCTGCACAGGAGCTTAGGAGAAACACAAGTTGCTGTTGGCATGGTGCGTGGCTGCCTGCCTCTTACACAACACCAGCAGATGTGAAAATAGCCCAGTGCTGCCTAATGCGCTCCTCTGACCTCCTGTTTGCTTCTGGATCAGATTCCAAAGCTGGATCTTAACCTACAAGAGCCATAAAAGCAAAGGATTTGGCCCTATCGGAGACCTCTACTTAATCTAAGACAGATGCACTTCGTGTAGAAGAACACGCCAAGGTTTATCAGGACAGGGAAGAGACCAGGGCAGCAGGAGCTTCTGGGGCAGCCCACGCCCATCAGCCCTGCTCCAGCTGACCGTGCACTGGGGGTGGTCCAGGGGCAGAAGAGCTGAAGCTCTTGCAAACTAGGGCAGCACCCAAAACCTTGCATCCCACTGCTCAGCTTACACCCAAGCTGCCTCCAGCCCCCACCTGCCCTGGCAAAGGAGGATCTCTGAGCTCCTGAGGTTCCGTGTCCTCGACCTCCACGTCCTAAGGGCTCACCAGGACTGCCAGAGCCATCATAGCAAGGGAGATCCCCTCCATCCATGCAAGGTGCTCCTGGGATTTCTCACCCACATGAGGAGCAGTGACTGACTCCAAAGCCAAACCTGAAACTGCTCCAGCACATGGAGGACAGATTGCTCCTGGAAGTGTGAAAAGGCAGTGGGAGAATTAAACTGAAGGATGCTAAGGATAGGGAGAGTTTAGTGATCAGTGGTGAAAGGGCATCCCCTAAGAACACACGCTACATAAAGAGATTAATATCCCCAGTGTCCCCAAGGATATCCAGTGTCCCTGCTGCCTTTGGGAATCCACTGGGGAACTTCCCAAAATTCAAGAGAAGGAAACAAGAGGGGGACCTTGCTGCCGTGGGAGAGGGGACCAGAGGATGAGCTGTCCCCCTTGCAGCCCTGCAAGGTTCAGGGCTGCTCTCATGGCTGTGCCAGCTGGCAGCTGCCAGCACCCACCCCTTGTGCCCCAGCAGTGCTCCCCTCTGACCCCACACACACACTACTCCCTGGTGTCCCTCACTGGAACCTGGAGGATTCTGACTCATCAGGAGTCTAAATCCTCCTCCTGAAAACTCATGTTCCTTCAACATGCCACAGTCCAGGCCAGGGAACACCCCTCAGTGCTGCCACAACCCACCCACAGGTGATGCTGTACCCAGCAGGGTCACCCACGGGTGGCTGTGGATGGGGGGCTCGAGAAAGCTCTTAGCCATCAGCTGAGCTGCCACACACCTGACTGCAGGCACCTTGCCCAGCCTTGGTACACGAGGAACTAATGTAAGATACAAAGTACCTGAGCTGCAGTATTTTGCCCCAAAGCACCTCCAGCCCCAAAGCAGGCTGGAGGGAGTTCTACCTTTGCACACAGAGCTCAGAATAAGTCAGCAGCAGAGGAGACTGGTTCTCAGCCTAACACTTGGGATGACCTGCAGATCATGGCTTGCACGGGAGGCCAAGAGGTGTCCTCAGAACTTAATCCATTTCAGGCACTTTCAAATCTCCCCAATACAACACAGAGCCCTTTAAGCAAAACTAAACAATTTCCTTTAGCCTAAATAAATACTGAACTTCCCGGATGCATTGATTTGCCCTGGTTCACCAAAGGCTAACTCCTACCCAAACTGATCATCATAAAAGAAATCCTATAATCCCTTGCTCCCATTCAGGCTCAAAACACGTAATCCCGTGAATAAACCCAGAAAGAAAGTGCAACAAAACGGGCAATAAAAACTTACAGCGTTCACATCTTTTCATCTACCATTAACACTGTAAACACTCACTCGAAGGCCCTTGAGGATGACTAATCTCATGTTTTGGCTCCCACCCACTAACCGTGGTGTGACACCCGGCGAGACCCACAGCCCGGGACACCCCCCAGTGCCCATCCCCAGGGAATCCCAGCCTCCCAGCCCACAGAACCCTGCAAAACCAGCACGGAACGAAGCAGAGTGTGGTTCTAATAGCACCAGAGCACAGAGCTCGGCTGCTTTTTTTTTTCTTCTTCTTCTTTTTTTTTTTTTTCCCCTTATTATTTTATTGCTTTGGAAGCCTGCAAGCTCCAACTGTATAAATGCCAATAACTTCCCAAGTTTTAAGGCTGCTGAAGTAAGAGATCAGATTTTAGCAAGTGCTTTCCAGGCAGCCAGCCAAACTTTTTCTTCTTCACTAAAAG